AGAAGCAAAGGCTAGCCCATCAGGTCTAGTCACACAGAAGAGCTACGGTAGCTCAAATTGCTGAAAAACATAATGCTGGTCATGATAGAAAGGTGTCAGAACACACAGTGCATTGCAGTTTGCTGCATATGGGGCTGTGTAGATCCTACTAGTCAGAATGCCTAGATCCCTGTTCACCACTCAAAGCACCTTCAATGTGTCAGTAAGCTAGTCAAAACTGGAACATGGGTCAATGGAAGATAGTTGTCTGATAAATCAAATTTTTTTTAAGAGAGATGGATGGCTGGGTGCGAGTGCGTTGTTTACCTGGGGAAGAAGGCAGGTTGGTGGAGGCAATGTTATTCTCTGGGCAATGTTCTGCTGAGGAAATCTTGGGTCCTGGGATTCATGCAGATGTTACTTTGATACATGTCTCCTAATTAGAGATTGTTGCAGACCAGTTTCCTCATGGCAGTGGCCTCTTTTAGCTGGATAATGAATCCTGCCACACTGTAAAAAATATTCAGGAATGGTTTGAGATATCCAGATCCCCAGATCTCGTTCCAATTGAGCATTTGTGGCATGTGCTGATACAGCAGATCCATGGAGGCCCCACTTAGTAACTTGCATGACTTAAAGGATATTCAGCTGATGTATTGGTGTCAAGATACCACAGGACATGTTCAGAGGTGTTGTGGAGTCCATGCCTCAATGCATCAGTGTGTTTTGGCAGCATGAGGGGCACCTGCATGATATCAGATGGTTTTAATGTTGTGGCTGATCAATGTAGCACTGTACAATGGGTGGACTAACAGATATGTAATTGTAACCAGACAACTGGACGTACAGGAACAGAGAGTTGGAGGGCCCTGCTCAATGAGCTTACATTGTAGAGGGAGTGGGGTATAGTGACACAAAGGGTAAAAGTAGGGGTACGAAGTCAGTTGTTAGAAAAGTATTCACTGAGGGCTTAGTAGGTAATTTTTGACAGTTGCAGGAGAGGAGTCATGGGGGGTGGGGGATAAAAACCTGCTAACAGTTTAATTGATATGCTTTCTTGAAGAAGAGAGTTTTCAATGATTTTTTGAATGAGTGGAGACTGGGTGAAAGTCTTACGGAGAAGGGAAGGGAGTTCCACAGAAGAGGTGTCGCCTTGGAAAAATCTTGGAGGCGAGCATTAGAGGTGGGAGTACAGACAGAGGATATATGTAGGTCTTTGGCAGAGCGTAGGGGCCTCGATGGGACATACTTGTGTATTAGGGACAGGGCCGGATTAACATAGGGGCTGATGGAGCTGCAGCTCCAGGCCCAGGCCCATGGAATATGCCCATTGATTTATAGAAGAAAAAAAAACTTTTTTTCTTTTTTTTTTACATTTTTTTTTTTCACACACTATTCTGGCTTTTATTTTATTGGTAAGAACAAAGAAAAGTATATATATACTCAAATATCACCACTTAGTGAATAGTACATATAAGTGAAAAAATATACTTATCTTAATATTCAAGTGAAACAGCCTCCCAGGTCATTACCCAGAATGAATGACCTTTACACAGCAAAATATAAACCAACCAGAAATATTTGGGATACGGCTGAGAAATCTAAAATTAAAAAATATAGATATACATAGTGTAAATCTGTATCAAATAGTAAGTAAGTATTTATGAAATGCACTCACAAGATTAGATGAAATATATCGCTCTATGGTGCCTCCCCCGATAGTAGTGGGGGGCTATTATCCTCCTTCAGTTGCTCCAGGAAAATAGATGAAAAAACAGGACTCCCAGGGTTGTGAGAAAAATAAATGAAGCGGCTTTATTAAGGATGAAACATCACCCAACAATGAATATATAATATAAGCTTAAAATGAGGTCCTACGCGTTTCGTTCACAATGTGGAACTTCCTCAGGGACCAAAAGTTAAAATCAAATGTTATACAACAATAGTAAAACATAAAATGCAGCCTAATCCCACCCACCCACCAGTCCTGTTTTATAGGGCTAACCCCTGAGTTAATTTATGGTAATCTTGGCGTCCTTCTCTGTTTCATCCTTCATTGGTGAAATGATTAATCACATCCAGCTGAATTCTTCATGTTTTGATTGCAGTCAAAAAATCCCGCGTTCCATATCAGCCGAAAACCGGAACCGGAAGTAAACACATACTTCCGCGTTCCATTCAATCGTGCGTTTCAACAGGGAAGATCGAGATGTAAAATATTTATAACATAGCCATCTAGTGGTCGCCAGGGGAATAGTCCCAAATAATAGATATTGGAAACAGTCATATATCTAATAAGACAAAACAAAATAATATCGGCAGCAACATGGAGAAATATAAAGCATGAATTTATCCTATTAAGATCTTCAATAAATATTTGATATAGATCTAATTACAAAGAAATGCAAATATAATCCTAAATTAGTGAAAGTGAATAATATAAAATATTAAAGTGAT